TAACATTGAAATTTATATAATAACCAAAAAATTCAGTTTTTTTATTCATAAAATGGCAAAAGTCCCAAAAAGTTTGAAATAATTAATTCTGCGGGTAATATTTGTCTGACTGAACCATGCATATTATTAGTGGGCGGTCCCCTACTTTGAATTATCGAATTTTGCTATTTTTTCTGACATTATATTAATTAAAATAAAAAGAGGCTAGATCGTCGAAAATGCAAAGCTTTCGATTCTTAAAATCAACTATTTTAAAATCCACATTTGTATACGTAGAAAATAGAATATACAGGATAAAAAGTTAAAAATAAGAAGGATAAAATATTTTTCATCAGGAATGTCAGAGCAACTACGAACCCTGGAATATATGACTTTAGAGTAGTTCAGTAAAGATACAAACAAATAGAACAAAAATAGAGCAGAATAACAAACAGAACAAAAATAGAGCAGAATAACAAACATACACTGAGAAATGTTGGAGAATTCTTAAAGACAAAGCTTGATATTTTAGAGAACAACTAACAATAAAATGGCGCCAAAAATATATTTTGTGCTTTAAGTCATGCATAAGCAATAAAATTCAGATCTAAATTATTTTGTGCGTCATTGCGCGATAAAGATGGTCAGATAATTCTAAGACATATTGTTGGTGAATCGTGCACCCAAAATGGACTTAAATGGACTATATGAATGAACTTGATTCCCTTCACTAAATAGATATCGATTTTGGGACTTTCAAGTCTAAACTTTTTCAGTGTTCCCTTTAGATATTTATCATTTAAGGGGAGGGGAAATATCGTGGCATAAATAAGATGTCGTAACCCAAATTAAATAAATGAATAAGTGTTCAAATTAAATATTATTATTATTTATTTATTTATTATTATTATTATAATTTTTTTTTTTTTCGAAAACTAAAAATTATGTTATACACTTGATAAATTTGGTTCGCAGCATTTTTCCCACCATCTACAGTTTAAACAACACACCTTTATATTCATTATCAGAACAAGCTCTCGGTAAACAAAAGTCGATATTGTTATATTTCAAACAAAACTTAGAAACAACCCTCCTCAAATAAAAGAACGCAGGAGTTCTCACTGCAAAACTTCAAACCAGAATAAAATTTATGCCAACACTCGAAATCGATCATTTTATATTGCTAACGACATCTCAACAATTCAACTCATTTTTCAAAATGTTTTAAACACGTCATATAACTGTCGATATTTTTATGATAGGACGCAGAAAACAGGATTGAAGGAGAAAAAAGCTATCTGCGCCAACAACCATTCGAAAAAGACTTGAAAACCGACACGTTTCGAATTCATTAGCATGGTAGTGAACGAAAAGTGTCGGGAATTGCCGGGGCTCGTAGCATCCTTTATTTCACCGTTTTACGTCAGTGGAGTTGGCAACGATGTGGTATCGATTTTACTTCGGAACAACCGGATGAGAACCAGAACTCTTTTTCGTGGAGCAAGTATATTTCCCTTTGGTGGAGTTATTTTGTTTGGCGTTCGGAAAAAGGAATGAAAAAGGGTGTGCCAGCTGCGACGAATGGATCTTTCAGTCATCCATTTCTTTGCTCAATACACACTTTTTTACGTTCAAAATATCTTGACAAATATGTCCTTGTCACATAAATAATGATTTCTTGGGGAAAAATAGGTTCTGTTTGTTTTATAGCACTAAAGAATAACTGAATTCGAACATCTAATTGGAATACTTTCCCGATTCGTTAGTGTTATATTCGGCTAACAAAAGTTTTCTTGTCTTGGGCATTAAAATAATTGTAAAAAAATATTTGAACCAGAAAATTTTCCTCCAGTTATTTATTGTTTCATTGTATTTACCAAAATACTAGCTTAATGCAAATTAATTAAATAATCAAATTAAAGACTTTCGTTTGATCGTTGCAAGTCGACTTACGAGTCGATCTTGGAAGGAAAAAAAAATAGCTGCATTATTAACCAAACGCTTGATACTGAAATATAATTTATGTCGTAAAAAATAAATGATGGCACATTTTCACCAAAGTGTCACATATCATTAAGGGATTAAACATAGTCTGATGACAATTTATTTTGTTGTCAATTTTGTTAATTTATTTTGTTGCGATAATATCTACCTAAAAACTATTTTAAAAAAATTATGACTATTGATTGAATTTGGAGCAACAATTTAATAACGGAATGCAATATTTATTAAAACTTACACTCCAGTTTTCTGAACTCAAAGCTTTCAGCACTGAGACCAACGGTCATAACTGAAACACATTTTAATGGCCATTACATATAATAGAAAATTCCACTGCTTTCACTGGGATTTAAGCAGTCGTTAAAGCAACGCTAGACTTAACTAACGGTCATTATCCAAATTAAAATGCCAGAATTAAATCATCCTTATTTCATAGTACTTCACGTCATAACATTGTCTACAGAGGGAAAAAAATGCAACGATTCTTAGGAAGAAAATTGTATTGTAATTTAATATGGCAAGAATACGTTTATAAATTATATTTAAAAAATAGCATTTTGAATAGGTACAAATGCAGATAAAATGATAAGGGTGTATTTGAATCAATTTTCATGGTTGCTCGAATAAACCATTGCTTTATATAGAAACAAAAAAATTTTTTTTACTCAAGATAATACGATTTCAATGAGGCATTTGTTTTAAATAATCGTAAAAATATTTTTATCGCAAAAATTTTTTAGTTTTTAATGTAAATTAAAATTACATTTTTTGACGATTTAATTTTGATTCAAACTGAAGTTTATCTAAGATTTTTAGGCCTTATTTTATGCCTCATCTGTAATTCCTAAAAATAATAAGGATAAACAAAATAACTAAAAAAAATAGTTTTATTATTTCCCTTCATTTTGTATTTATTTTGTTTTTCGAAATAATGTATAAAATAATGGATGGTGTTTTCTACACTAGGGAACGCTGCAAGCTCGGGACTGCCTAAATTTCCGGGTTACTGTTTCAGTTGTATTTTAAAGCCATTTGGCATCATTGTGTTTTGAGATTCTTGCAAACAATGTATTTGATTACTTATTACTTATGTTTATAATGCTAACAATACTTGTGCTTACAATACTAAAAGTGTTAACACTAACGTAAGAAGGTGCACAGCTTGCAACACGAACAAACAGTAATAAACAAATGGAAAGAGGCCAAATCAAGACTGCCAAAAAAAGCGAGTTATTCAAAATCTAGCAACCATGTCACCTTTTTTAATAATAAATAACAAAATAACTAAAACACATTTTCACTCCAAACTCACCAGAATTACATAATAACTTTAATATCTTATGAAAGACGGCAGATTTGAGCTCAGAAATTATCTAATTTATTTCTTTTATTGAAAACAAAATTATCCGAAACATCGCCTATCAGAATAACATGTAGTAAGCAGCTGCAAACTTTTTAACCGGAACTAGAGTAGGTCCCGAGCTCGAGATTGTTATTGTTTACATTTCTATTGAAAACACCATCCATAAGCTAAAGACGGCAAATAGAAATGCAATAGACGGCAAATACAATAAAACTTGATGTAAATAAACGTTAAGGTTCTCTTCAGGACTCATTCCTTTATGAGAGACATTTCAAAATAAAGAATAATTATTCTAAGATAAAAATTACCCTTTTTAAAAATACAAATATGGGAAAAAATTGACAAAATTTAATTTTGAAACCAAACACCTCAAACAACAAATAATCTTTCGGTCATTTCGAAGGCAAAAACAATTTAACGACGAATTCTTTTTAAACAGTAATTGCAGACGAGATAATGCAACATTAAATGAAAAGAAACATAAGGAAAGTACCACATAGTAAGGTACACATTGAATTCGAACGCATAATCACCAAAATTCTCTTACGGAAGCTTTAAGATACTGTTGACGACCTGAATCAAAAACGATGTGCCATAGACACAAATGGCACATAAGTAATGATGTGTCTAATATACCATGAAATGGATCTATTAACTCAGTGGCGTAATCTCTCGATTGCAGACTTAGGTGTACATTACTGACCTTATTTGGTGATCAGAGTAGACATTACACTCACAAACATCTCATTCTTTCAACAGATACATAGAGCTCGTGCAAGTACGAATGAAAGAGGGGGAAAGTAAAGATAGCAAAAAAGAGAAATCGTGTCCATGATAGTCCCAAACGAAAATCATAAGTTTCTTCTTTGCAGCGGAAAAAAGAAACTTCAGTGGAATGGCAACAGTATATCGAATATGACACGTGACCTGGAAGGATGATGTTTATTTGGTTAGCTAACTCACTGACGCAGAAATAAAAAGCAGATGCTTTTGCGCTTTTGTAATGGCTGGTACATGGTACGAATGCTTGGGGTATTATTAAAAGTAATGTCTTACTATTAAAGAAGAATCGGTTAGAGGAAGAAAGTTTCATGTAACAAGTCTAAAAAGAAATAAAAATGGCTCGCAGAAGAATTATTAATAAAGAATAGCTTCTTCATGAATCAAAATAAAAACAAGCTATAACGGAAGATGATTTTTTTGCGAAAGAGGGAAGGTGGAGCTTCTCTTTTTACCAAATAGATCATTTTAAACAACATTTTTAAGATAAACTAAAAAATAATAATGAGATACATCGTTTGCGAACGAATCGTGTAATTTACAAATTGGCATTAGGTGTGATTTTGGAGAAAAATTTCATTCCACAAAAATATTACTTTAAAAAAAGTAAGAAAGAACTTTTAAATTTACCTTTTATAACTACACTGTGGCATTTATTAAAGAAGCATCCAAATTAAAATTAAAATATATATATTTTTTATAAACAAAGAAAAAAAGTAGCAGTTATTTAAATTTTGTACATTCAACAAAATCATAGCAAAACTACATTCAAACGATTTTTAAAAAAATATTGAAAATATTTTATAAAATAATTATTTTTTATACATAAATTGGAAAAATGGATTAATTATGATTACAAAATCGAGTTTTTACTTACGATAGACAACAAGTTCAAATGACACGCTATCTGAATCATCACTGCAGGTGTAAGTACCGGCATCATCTTTTTCTACATTAGCGAAGACTATTCGGCGTCCATTTTGATTATCTCCCTCAGCAGGCTGCACATGAATCCTGTAAGGAATATTCAGGAAAATTAAAAAAAAAAAAAACATTAACAAAATTTATATTAAATTACGCATGTGGAATATATGATAGGATGCGTATAAACAATCCATTTTATAACCGGAGTTGAACAGCCGACCCAACTTTGGGTACATGACAACTAATGTTCAACTCCGTAGCCTTGTAATTTTGAACCTAATCCAGAAGACAAGGGAACTTCTGGATCAAGTATTGGAAGAAATTTCCTTTCGTGGAGGAGTTTTAGATGGAACTAACCTGCATTTGCGTTCTATAGAGAGGAAAACAAACCACAAAAACCTCCGACGGTTGGCCTTACGGCAAGGGGACCCGTCCTACCACTGAGGATATTTTACGTCAGCACTGTGGTCGGTACGAACCGGGTGCGGATTTCGTATCGACCAGCCATCGCTGGTATTTGAACCCGTTTCACCTCATTGGAAGGAGAACGCTCTATCCTCTGAGCCACCACGGCTCAAAGAATCCTTCTTGGGAGGATTCATTTCAAAAATGAAAGGAATTTTTTTTAATACTTTGTGTTAGCAGAAAGTTTTTCATTTTATCTAAGCCTGGTGCCAAGAACGATTTTGCCTATCCTGAGTATATAGATAAGGACTCCTGGGGGGAGGAGGGTTTAGCGGTCTTTACCAGGGGTCTGTCCAGACATTTTGTGAAAGGTCCGGTTTTTGTGAAATTGTGAAAAAATTACTTACATTTTTCAACCAGGGTCCTGCTTTTATGAATTTGTGCAAATAGGATCCGGTTATTGCAAAAAACTTTTTAAAGCAGTTTTTAAATTGTAAATAGATACAAGATTATGTTCAACACTGTAAAATTATAATTAAAAAAAATTTAATTTTCAAAAATAAACAGCAATTGCTGCTTCTAAATTAGAGATGCAACATACAAATATTTGGTATTTAGCCTATACTGCTGAACGCAGAATATTAATTTCGGACGAATATAGGACGAAGCTTCTGCCGAAGACAAAACTTAATTCGTTTGCATCCATCTTTCTTGTTCTCTGCCCTGGGAAGGGTTTATTCAATTAACAAAACAATAATGAAGATGAACAAATTTGTGAAGGGTTCGGTTAAAAGAAAAATCATTTTCTAAAGGGTCCGTTTTTATAAAAAGATATTTTGTGAAGGGTCCGATAACGGACCCAAAATTTCTTCTAAACAGACCCCTGTTTACTAACATGTTAAATGTATAAATATTTAAGTTTACTATAGATTAATGAAAGGTATGCTACGAAGCTAATAATGATTTTGAAAAATTCCTCAATACGATAATAGCCTTTTGATATAAAATAATTAGGAATAATGATAACCAATACGCTACAAAGTTATTTATTTTTCGTTTTTAAAAAATTAAAATTTTCGAAATAAACAGAAAGAAATTATTTGACCTGTCTTTGGAGGAAATAAGAACTTCTGGTCTGGTACAAAATTTCATGTATGCATATATTAATTTATTAAAAACGAGTCAAAAACTATTCGAAATGACATTAAAACTATTGAATATTGTAGTAAACTAAAACTTAATTACAGATAATTTAGATTGTGTAAATCCCGCATGAGAAGATTTCATTGAGCTTATCAATAAAAATACTGACTAAAATGCAATAATTCGTATCTTCCAAGTTTAATTTCGCATCTAACTTTAATTTAGAAAAAGTTATTTAAATAAAATAAAATAACTTTCATGAGTCTTGGTTAATCTCAGTTTCAGTTAAGTTCAGTTCAGTTTAAAAGCGAAATTCAATTCTTCTAAAGTTATTACTAATAAATTTTCACCAAACATACATTATAAAAAGTTGAACAGCAATTTCGAATAAAATTTTGAATTCTTGTCTGAAAAAGTAAATTTTTATCCTACCTAGTTAGAAATCCGTAAAAGTGCTTTCTCCTTGGGCGCAGATACTAAGCAGTCGAAAAAGTAACAACGCTTCAGTGAAAAAAGAAATAATTTTTCCTCCGCAGCAGGAATTAATATGCACTAATTACTTTAAATTTAAAAACATTATAATATAATCAAAATTTTAGTGCCAAGTACACAATTTTCTTTAAAATTCCCTATTTTAGCCAATAATCAAGTACTTAATAAGCAAGTAATAATAAAGATAACTTAAATAAACATTAAAAAATTATTAACCTAATTTTTTATGTTTAATATGCGATGATATTTACGATTAATTGTTTATTTTTAAATCAAGATAACAATTCTTTTCTATAATTAATAAAGGAATCTTTACAATGATTATAAGCAAAACGGATTATTAGCAAAGAATCAAGCATTAAAAGATTTAAATATTTTTTAAACGAATTATTATGTAAATTAATTATTATAAATAGAACAATTAATTGAGAAAACTGGATTTAACTTTCCTTAATAACATAATTTAGTTGAGTTTACTCAATTCTAGAGTTTCGCAAACAATTCATTCTACTTCACAAAAATAGTTAGTAGATAATTAAAAAATACATTAAACCCAAAAAATAAGAAAAANGGGAAAGACTTTAAAACAAAACTTACAACAGTTACTTTTCTCAGCAACTGAAATTTAGAGTAGTGTGAGTAAGAAAAATATGTGAACTGTTTGCAATTTCAAATTTATATGTAAATGTACAGGTTTAGAATTTTCTACAGTGAAAAGTTTTCGGAACTTCAGTATTCAAAAAAGTATACAAAAACTAGACGGTAAGAACGTATCTAATGAGCGAGCATTGGATTGCGAAGCAATCCGAAATGAACTATGAAAGCAGTTCCGGTGATTGGTGAGCGCCAGCGAGCAGGGGGCAAAGTCTCCTAGTAATAAAGATAACTTAAATAAACATTAAAAAATTATTAACCTAATTTTTTATGTTTAATATGCGATGATATTTACGATTAATTGTTTATTTTTAAAACAAGATAACAATTCTTTTTTATAACTAATAAAGGAATCTTTACAATGATTATAAGCAAAACGGATTATTAGCAAAGAATCAAGCATTAAAAGATTTAAATATTTTTTAAACGAATTATTATGTAAATTAATTATTATAAATAGAACAATTAATTGAGAAAACTGGATTTAACTTTCCTTAATAACATAATTTAGTTGAGTTTACTCAATTCTAGAGTTTCGCAAACAATTCATTCTACTTCACAAAAATAGTTAGTAGATAATTAAAAAATACATTAAACCCAAAAAATAAGAAAAAAAATTTTAATTCTCAAAAATATTATATTAATTATCAAACAACAATAACAAAAAATTAATTTTGCAATTCAGTTAACCGTTTTTAAACATTAAAACACTCTTTTTAACCTAATATATTTAACATCGATTAACAAATTATCTCTATGGGGAAAGAGTTTTAAGTTTCTCTGAAAACATGAATAAATTTAACTGCTTTACACCCATACAAAAATAACCTATACAACGCTTCCACCAGAAACCTATTCATCTACCTCCTTTATTCCCTAAATAATCCTGAAGTGAAAACGGATACAGTTCAATTAGAAGTCACGTGGACGCAAACTTTGGGGGATGGGGGAGGCTGTTCACCCATGCCATGGAATAGGTATCATTGTCACAAGATCAAACTTTTGTCTGCGCAAAGAGCTATCGCTCCAACGGCCGTTGGGGGTAACCATGGGTGACAAAACTTCAGAATCTCCAGGAAGAAGGATGGTATACGTATTATCGATCCCGATTTTGAATGAATCATTGCCGGAAACCCTCTAGGGTGGGGGAGTTAATACAAAAAAATTCTCACAATGAAATTGTGGGTGTCTTGACCCCATCCAACAAAATCAGCATAGTCAGGATTCAACGAAGCACCAAATGACACGCATGCGTGGCGAGCGATACACCTTGTTATGCGTTCGAAGCAGGAAACGCATCTGAGGCAAGATTTGGTAGTCTCATCTCAAAATATGCCTTTTTTTATTATTCCACATAGTTTTTGTGCGACACGCCCTGGATAGGTGAAAGAATCAGTTGCCAGGTATTATAAATATGTCTGCAGTGTAAGATAAAGATTATAAGAAGAGATTTTCAAAAGTAGAAGTGACAGTACACCTTTGTCAGCAAGGGATCAAACTTTGGAAGTGTGACAGTTGTAGAAGCGCGAGATTATGAAAGGGAGTTAAAGATTGTCACGGCTTGAACAATTCGTGTATTTTTAGAAACTTTTTTCTTCTTCCCGGTGTGTCATAATATCAAAATCAAAAAGAAGAAAATCATTCCGGCTAAGTTGTAAAGCATTTAAATGCGCTGGTGTCAAGATGAGATACAGCCGACCAAATTTATTTTAAGCTTTCCTTCCGGCAATTTTCTTCCCCTTGAATCAATCATCCTATAGAAATATTTGTCAAATTAAATTTAATAGACAGTTTAGAATCCTTAGTACTTAAACAGCTCTTGCCACTCTCTCAGAAATAAAGCACTCGCTTTTGACGATTCAGCCTACCCTTAAACTATATTTTGTTAATTTTGAGAATTATTTCTCTAAGAAATCGAGTGATTTGTGACGAAACGGGAACTCTCATATATGTGATGAAATTGTTTCCTCAACTCGAATGAAGATTAAACGATTAAAAATAAAAGTGATGACCGGTCTGTATGTTGGTCAGGGAGTTGTCCTTGTCCCACCAGGAAGATCCCCGATTCGAATCCCGTTTCAGGCATGGATGTACTTTATCTGTTNTATATATATATATATTGGAGAAAAAAATAGAATGACGAAATATTTCTATACTATTGACGAAATTCGTTTCTCGTTTCGTCACATACCAGAAAACAGTTTCGTCAAAAAGGAAGAAAATTTCGTGAAATTTAAATATCCACTTTTTACAATGTAGATTTAAGAAATTCATCATAGCAAATTCTTTTTCGCCTGCACAAATAAAAATTTAAAGCATAGAAAAAATTAGTTCATGTTTTCCCAGAAGTGTGAAATTTTAAATGCTGATTTTTTTCCCAATTTATCTATCTAAAT